AAAAATTTAAGGGGGTCTGAATACTTTCCGTACCCACTGTATATATATATATATATATATATATATACACAGTATTTAACTTCCAGGCCATTTTACACTTAAATAGAACATTGAAATATCAGACATGTTATTGTTCCTACTAATAATAATTTAGAACTTACTGTTTCTTAACTAAAAATATTTAATGATTAGTTGGACACCATTGTCAATACAAACATTAATGTGACCACAAAGTACCAGCAGACATACCAGGGGCAGTCGTGGCCTAATGGTTGGAGAGTTTGACTTGTAACCCGAAAGTTGCAGGTTCGAGTCTCAGGTAAGACAGGAATTGCCGGTGGGGGGAGTGAATAACCAGCGCTCTCTTCCACCCTCAATACCACGACTGAGGTGAGACCCTTGAGCAAGGCACCGAACCCCCAACTGCTCCCCTGGCGCCACAGCAATATGGCTGCTCTGGGTGTGTGTTCATGGTGTGTGTGTTCATTACAGTGTGTGTGCATTTGGATGGGTTAAATGCAGAGCACAAATTCCGAGTATGGGTCACTTGGCCACATGTCACTTCACTCAGACACGAGTCAGCATTGTGGCAGAAGACAGGAAGTCATAAGGAACAGATACTGCGCTAGTTCATAATTTACTGAGCATCATGTGAGACTGGGCACTACACTAAGTGAAACATAATTATAACACAGAAACTACTAACCAGCCCACTGCAAATAAGAACAGAGCACCAACAACACAAGAGAAGGGCCAATGAAAAGCAACACAGAGCCGGTCACCAGACTATAGCATATGTACTACCCATATCCTCCAGGAACAAATTCTGTATTTAACCCTTTGGGGTCTGAGGTGATTTGACATGCCCTGACATTTGTGCTTATTTCAGCTACTTATAACATACTATTGGTCAACTTGTAATTTTTTTGTATTCATCACAAACTGTGCAACAATAATATGTGAGCAAGATTGATCTACTGTACATGTTTGCATTTTTTAGAAAAAAAATATTATGCATGGTTAGTAAGTTTTGGGGGGAAAAAATGTTGCTGAAATAAGGCCATAAAACCCATACTGAATAGTTCTGAATAAGACTTTTGAGTAATCAGTCTTGTTGGCTAGAATATTTACATCAAAATGCTGTGAAAATCATTCTGCTTACTCATTCACAGAAAACGATATATTGATTTAAATTTTGTAAGACATGTTTTGTGATAGTCAAGCTTTATGCGAGGGAGTGACAGTGGCCATGAATATTTAGTGATTCACACCTGAGAGACAAAGGGCCGTCCCCTAATGGCCCATCAGTGAGTCATGTGACTGTGAGGCAGGTAAGACAGAATGTGAGGAGATTGAAAAAATGACTTTTTAAATTATTTGTATTTTATTTACAACACAGTATGATCAAAACATACACAATGAAGGTCAAAGACACATTATTGTTAACACTGGTCTAACCACAGAGATGTGAACAGACTGAGTCATTCCTGAAAACAGATTCTGTTCAACAAGTGAAACAAGTAAACCATACCTGATATTTAAGTGTTTGCTGCTTCTTTCCATGGATTCAAGAACAACAACAAAAAAAAAACATCATCAGTAGTCAAGGAGCTTGTTTTACCATAGAATATCAGTGTAGTTGAACATCTGATGTTGGTACAGCGCTCTCAGAGGAAAACAGTTTGAAGGGACTCAAGTGAAAGTCAGCAGGATTCATATGTGGTGCAGGTATCTGATCACTAAAAAACAAACCAAAAAAAAAACATTTGTGAGCATGTTAATATCAGGAGCATCTGTATATAGACTTTGTAGTCATAGACTCACGCATGCTTTGTACTACTGTAAAAAATGACATTTTATATCTGAGAAACTAATTATTATGGTTTAGCAGTTATAAAATCTATCTATCTATATATAATCTATTTGTGAAGAGAGCATTAATAATAAACATGGTCTAAACATTCTTAGACTCGTAGCATTCATCATGTTACAGTGTACACTCATATTACTTTTATATAGGCTATTGTTTTAGATTATATAGAGCATGAAAACATCATCACGCCATAAGAAATTTAAATACAATGAATTGCCTATCATATTCAAAATGTTTCACTCAATTTCAAAAATTTTTAGTCAGGAATTATAATTTTAGAAAAAGCCAACTATGATTTTGTAGTCATATAGCCAATTAGCCTATGATTTTATAGTATGATATGATTTTGTAGTCATACACTCACGCAAGTAATTTTATCTCTCTCTTATTTATTTGTTAATTAAATAGAGTGCTACATACCTAACTGATCTGTTACCCCTATCAACAGATTTTATTTAGACTCACAATTACGCATTTCTTTATTGCATTTTACCCCTCTTTCTTCATGTTTTGGTTATACACTTAGCCACTTTTTTATTTATTAATTTCCTTCTTAATTTCATTTAGCTTATTTTTGTCCATTTATTACATTTAATTTTACTTTATCTTACCTTTCTCTTTCCTCCTTTATCCTAGCTTGTGAGTGACGCCTGAGCTCTCAATAGGAGACATTGTTATTCCTCACTGTGAGTTTCAAATAAATTAGAGAGAGAAATCTCTTACACTCAAATATTATTTTTGTTTGTTTAGTTGTGACAATAAACTATAAACAACACTCTACTCATAGTCGGGCATAACACAGCCTGTCAGTGGACCCGATCCATTCAATTTACTGTCTCCTTCCCTTTTCTCAAGTATTTCCTGTTCTCTCCTGCTTTCTTTCCTCTTCATATTTGTTGGGACCTGTAAGAACCAACCCGTTCTCATTAATCTGCATGTAAATAACACAACTTTACACTTTCTTAAAAAGTTTTTAATCATGTGACATGGGTCTTCAGCTTTTAGACATGGCTGATGACAGCACAACAAATCAACCAACCCAGTATGCGTGGTGAACGTGATTATGTAAAAAGTC